GAGACGAAACGTTTCATTAGAGAAGAACCCGTCCAGAAGACCTATACAATTTTTTTCTTTTTGATTTTTTACCTGGATTACTGAGATGCATCAGAAAACTATTGATGATAAATTTTGAACTTTACGAACAGAACCACAGGTCTGTTCTGGGCCTGTTGGACCGGGTCGAACTTGGTTCCTGTCCGGTTCCGTCGGGGTTTTTGGACTTTTAATTTGTTGTCATGGAAACCGAACAGGAAGAAAGCGCGCGCAGCCCCCCCGCCCCCTCAGTGTCCGCCGCCGCACGCGCACCGGGAGAAGCAGCGCGCACGGACCGACCGTCTGATCCAGAAGCGGCATCCTATCTGTGGCGTCGGTCCGGACCGTCCGAACCGGTCAGTACGTGGCCGACGAGCGTGCGCGCGTGCGTGTGTGTTGGTTCTGCTGCTGTGGACCGGGGGCGCCGCTCCGCCCCGGAACCAACGGACCTTTAATGACCGGATTCGTGTTCTGCTGCGCGATGTACCGAAGCAGCACCAGTACCAGGGGTGAGTCCAGCAGCATCTGCACCGCGCGTGCACACACACTGCACGGAAATGCGCGTGCACACACACTGCACGGACATGCGCGTGCACACACGCACACACTGCACGGAGCTGCGCGCGCACAGCTGCAGTGTTCGCGGCCTGATTTTATTTTTCTCTCATAGCAATGATCTGGGGGCGGGGCGCCGCGCACGCGGGTTACGCGCACACACTGACCCACATCTCTGCGGCCGAACCGGCCTACTGACTGCAGCGGGTCCAGATGTGGTTCTGATCTGAGCCGCAGTCACGTGACCTCTGGCTAAACGATCACTGATTGATCCGCCGCAGCCAATCACAGGCCCGCTCACAGCGTGGCCATGCGCGTGCACCGAGCCGTAGCTGTTTGTTTCACGCGCACAGATTCACATCGGTGAGCACGAGCTACCATCAAACAGAACCGAGCCTGGTTCTGATGAGGTCCGGTAAACAGATTCTGAAAGACTCTGGACTGGACCTGTGGTCTGGACCTGAAAGACCCAGGACTGGACCTGTGGTCTGGACCTGAAAGACCCAGGACTGGACCTGTGGTCTGGATCTGAAAGACCCGGGACTGGACCTGTGGTCTGGATCTGAAAGACCCAGGACTGGACCTGTGGTCTGGATCTGAAAGACTCTGGACTGGACCTGTGGTCTGGATCTGAAAGACTCTGGACTGGACCTGTGGTCTGGATCTGAAAGACCCAGGACTGGACCTGTGGTCTGGATCTGAAAGACCCAGGACTGGACCTGTGGTCTGGATCTGAAAGACTCTGGACTGGACCTGTGGTCTGGATCTGAAAGACTCTGGACTGGACCTGTGGTCTGGATCTGAAAGACCCAGGACTGGACCTGTGGTCTGGTTCCGAAAGACTTGACTGGACCTGTGGTCTGGATCTGAAAGACCCGGGACTGGACCTGTGGTCTGGATCTGAAAGACCCAGGACTGGACCTGTGGTCTGGATCTGAAAGACCCAGGACTGGACCTGTAGTCTGGATCTGAAAATCTGTACATGGAGCCAAATTATCCGGTCCATATCATGGAATGTGTTTATCACTCCCTACAACACTCCTTCTGTCCTCAGACATGTCCTACTGTCCTCAGACATGTCCTACTGTCCTCAGACATGTCCTGCTGTCCTCAGACAT